TAAAAAAGAATGAAATACTGACACGTTACAACATGGGATGAACCCTGAAAACCTCATGCTAAGAAAAAGAAGCCAGACACAAAAAGCCATAAACTGTTATGAGTCAACGTACACAAAATGTCCAGAAGAGGCAAATCCATAGAGACAGAAAGTAGATTACTGTTTGCCAGGGGCTGGGAGGAGGGAGAATACAAAATGACTGCTTATAGATAATGGTGTTTCTGTTTGGGGTGATGGAAATGTTCTGGAATTAGGTAGTGGTGCTGACTGCACAACTTTGTGAATGTACTAAACCCACTGTATTATACACTTTACAGGGTGACTTTTATGATATGTGAATTATGTCTCAAAAATATATGTTGTGGGCGTGGTTTATCAAGTTCTCGTCTAGTCCATTAGATGATGGTCACGTTCACCATTCTCTTTAGGACAGGTCTCTCCTCACTTTCGTGTCTGAGTCCCTGGGGGACAACACCCTTAAGATTCTTAAAAACCCTTTTGTCTAGCTGACAGGGTCTACTTTTAAATCATTCGCCCTAAATATTTCTAAGGTCTTAATAAAGGATCATATAACCACACCTTAGGTTTGATCTTTTTCCTTGGAGAATCTTTTGCCATTGGAAATAACTGGAAGTGAGAAACCATTTCACTTCTCTGACTCACAATGTCCTAAGACTTCAGTATCTCCTCGAAATGCTGGAAAACCACACAGTTCCTCCTTTGGCTCATCTATCTTTTCCTGCATCTTACCAGATGCAGCTAAATTAACAAATGGCCTACTGACACTTTTTTTTTTTTTAACATTCTGCCTAGAAATAACCCAAATACTCCATGAGCGCATCAGACACAACTCTTTTCCAGGTTCTGCAGGCAACAGTTTTGCCAAATGTACCATCTCTACATAACACAGTGGCTGTGTTAACACTGGTCGGGCCCCGTGGCTCCCTCTTTCCCTCATACAGGGGCCTTGTCATTTGTCATTTTATTATTTTTTTTTTCAACGTTTATTTATTTTTGGGACAGAGAGAGACAGAGCATGAACGGGGGAGGGGCAGAGAGACAGGGAGACACAGAATCGGAAACAGGCTCCAGGCTCTGAGCCATCAGCCCAGAGCCTGACGCGGGGCTCGAACTCACGTACCGCGAGATCGTGACCTGGCTGAAGTCGGACGCTTAGCCGACTGCGCCACCCAGGCGCCCTGTCATTTGTCATTTTAAAGAGGGCGAGCTTTCAGCATTTTTCCCAGCATGGGTAAATAACTCCCCAGAACAGCTGACATCTTAAGCTCAGTCCCTGCACTCTTGCCCATATACCTTTGAAGGGCCCTGTCATGCTTACCATATATAAAGGCAGAGCACCTGCTCAGCTGGATTCCTCCCAGGGAGCTTAGCTCCAAAGTGTGTGTGTGCATCTGTACTTCAGCTCTGCCACCTCTCCTTCCGTGAGTGGTAGTTTACACGAAGTGCTATTTGCCAGAAGTTCCTTGCTCGATGCCCTTGGAGGAGCAGACGCTGACCTGAAGTTTCTGGGCCTTTTAGGTCTCTCCTTTGTGCCTGCTTTTATCTTTAACCACTTTTTACTTGAGAATCCAGCCTCGAGGTAGACAACGTGGAATGAGCTTTGGAATCCCAGTAAGGCATCTAAAAATTTAGGAACCAATTTCTTTGACCAGTTGAATTGACTGAAAGAGTTCTCCAAGTCATAATTATTGGTTCACTTTGGAGATATAACTTCAACAAAACAAAACCTACAAAACACATGGAGTTACTGTGTTCCCTTGGCAAGGATATATCTGGTCTCCCCTCCCTCTCTCCGCACAGCCTGACCTAACCCCACCACCCAGTCACCTCCCAAGGCTCACTGGCCTCATGCGGCAAACAAGGGATGCAGCAAAGGTGCAGTGTTTTTGGAAACTGTATTTGATGACTCTTTCTGGGGCAAACAAGGTTGGGTATCAGTTTCATATAGTTCAACTGAATACAACAGAGAATGTACAAATTTAATCAAGCAGATTGGATCTGGGCTTTCTCTATCAACTATCTGGGAATATGAACACAGTGGAGACTTTGATAGGACAATGGGCTTTTAGAAGGAAATCAAGACAGAGTGATTTGCCTAAGTATCTAGGTGAACACTCTAGTACCCATGTTACGCAGCATGCAACAATTCCAAGTATACGGTTTGATGAGTTTTGAGAAATGTGCAGCCAGTATACCTACCATCACAACCATGACATAGAACATTTATATTACCACAAAGTTTCCTCGTGTCACTTTCCGGTCACTCCAACATCTGACCGCAGGAAACCATTTTTGCTTTCTGTGACTCTGTATTTCCTCTTCTAGAATTTCATATTTCTGCCATTTTCTTCTGAGCTCATTTTGAGAGTCATCCACATGTTGCTGCATATTTTTAGTTTGTTCTATTATATTGATAAGTAGTATTTCATTATGTGGATATTTTATTTTATTATTATTTTTGGTGGAGGGAAGGAGGGGCAAAGGGAGAGGGAGAGAGTGAATCTTAAGCAGGCTCCATGCTCAATGCAGAGCCGGACATGGGGCTCGATCTCACAGTTGTGAGATAATGATCTGAGCTGAAATCAAAAGTCGGATGCTCAACCGACTGAGCCACCCAGGCGCCCCATGGTTATTTTATGATTTGCTTATCCATTCACTTATTGATGGACATCTTGGTTGTTTCTAGTTTGGTGCTACTAAGCATTAAGTGGCTATGAGTATTTAGTACAATTTTTTGCACAACACAGCTTTTATTTACCTTGGGTAAACGCGGGAATGGCTGAGTCATATGCGGAGTGTAAACTGAATTTTATAAGAAACTCAAATATTTTCCAAAATGATTATTGCATTTTCCATTCCCAACATCAGTGCAGGAGATTTCCAAATGCTCCACATAGTCACCAAGACATGGTGTCATCAGTTTTAAAGTTTTACACATTCTAGTTGGTGTTTAGAGGCATCTCATTAATTTATATTCTCTTGAGTGAGGACACTGAACATCTTTTCATGTGTTTATTGCCATTCCTATATCTTCTTTTGTAACATTTTGTGGAATGTTTTTTCAACTCCTTGCCTATTAAAAAAAACTCTCTAGGGGCGCCTGGGTGGCGCAGTCGGTTAAGCGTCTGA